TTTTTTTTTTCCCGGGGCAGGACAGCTCTCTGAGGCAGTCGGGCATACGAAAAAGGAGACGCGCACGGCCACATATTGCTTGGGAGTATAAACCGGACCTGCCCAGAAATAAAGGATTTATAAACAGAGATATCACCCCTCGTGTTCCGGCTGTGTAATTGAATTAAACTCCCGATACCGAGAGGCACTTTTCCCTGGGACTGGCTGTCCGCAGGGAGAGACAAGGGGAGGGTATGGTTGTAATTAGAGTGTGTTTTCCACGCTCTAGTCTGCCTTAATGAAGAACGGTGACCTGGGAAAACTTTCATGACAAGGGAAATCTTTACGGGAATGACTGCTTTTTCTGCCGGTGGGGGATATTCTTGAAGTTTGAGGATGCCCCTGTCCACCTCTGGTTCTGGAGCTACAGAATAAGTGTGAAAAATCTTGTGTGACAGGAATTATTTCTGTGCATGCTCTAAGGAGACGCCTGACCTGTGGGATTACACTTCTGTCTTTTTATTTTGCAAACTCTCCCCTTTTTTCTCTTTTTTTCCCACCTCCCTTTTCTGCAAACACAGACACCCACCCAGCCTCTCCGGTTAACCCTGGGATCGGGGCGGTGGGGATCCGGAGTGGCGGTTCAGGAAAATTCGGGGCTGTGTTTACAGGAGCAGGCCCTTGTGAATTAAGAGGGAGGTTGGGGGAACCAGCAGGAATTTTGCAGCCGAGAAAACGGAGAGCAATAATGTCCTAGTGTTTTTCACTTGAATTTACTGCTAACTTGGTCGCGACCCGTTTCCAGCGTTTTCATACGCTGTACTTGAGTGGTATTAAAGGAGAAGGCGGGGATTTCACTGCGCGTCAGAAAAAGGGATAAGTGTTTTTTTTAAGTATTGCCAGAACAAACTTCTAATAACAGCAAAAAAAAAAAAAAAGGACGGGAACTTGAAAGCGAGATTGCATTTGTGTCCATGCCTGCGTGTCTGAGGGCAGCCGGGCGGGTAAGCTGAAAATCAGCCGTAGCTACTTGTTGCTTTGGTTTGACACATTGTATTTAAAAAAAAAAACCAACAAAAGAAAATATTTTTAAAAGACGGTCTCGCACTTTTCTTAAACACAAACCGAGGCGGAATATGAGACGTGGATGCGCTGTCACTGTTTTCCGTCTCCAGCTTTCAAAAGGGATCGACTGCCGGGCTGAAGAGGCGAAGACGAGACCGGACCGGGGACCCGACTGCGGGCGCTGCAGCCGGCTTCTGTGCAAAACCCAAAGCGGACTGATGGACAGGGGCGACACATAGTTGCATTTCTTTCATTTTTTGTTTCCAGGGGAGGTTGTTTTGGGGGTGCTGGTTACTTTATCCCCTTTGTTTTTGTAGCCGTTGTTGTTGTTGTTGTCGTTGCTGTGGGGGAAAAAACAACTCCCCCCACCACAACAACAAACCAAACATTGTTTCGTTTCGGTCTTCAGAAAAGAAAACCCCACACGCTATGATAAGGACAATGCTTTCGGTCGTGGAGGGGAGAAAGCGGGCAGGCAGACCTCAGTCCTCGGCAGTGCACGGAGCAAGTGCTTGAAGAGACAGGAATGCGACTGTTGACGCAATATGAGGTAGAAAAATGACCTGTTCAAGACCCTGGGACTCGGTTCTCAAGTACAAGTACACAGCTTGCGCAGAAGACGTCTTGGTGGTTTTGCCTTTGTTTGTTTTTTCCATGCCTCATGTAACAGGGGAATTAAAATAGCAGGAAGTAACTTTTTTTTTATTATTTTACATTTTAATTGGTAGTATCATCCTCTCCGACATGGCCTCGCCGCGGCACCAGCCGCTGCTCCTGCGCCACACGGAGGTGAGCTGCGACGCCGGCGGCGGCGGGGTGGCGGTGAAAGTCAACAGCAGCGGCGGCGGCAAGCCGCCTCCGCCGCACCCGCCGCCGCAGCACCGTGGCCCCGCTAGCGGCAGCGCCGGTGGGGGCGGCGGCTCCAAGCACATCAAGTACAGCATCTCCTCCAGCTGCAGCTCGGGGGAGTCGGGGGTCCGCCGGGCGATGGTGCCGGGGCTGCGGGGCCAGAGGAAGGTGCCGCAGCTGTTCGAGAGGTCGGCCGCTCAGTGGTGGGACCCGGGGTTTGACTCCCCGATCCTGGAGGACGCCTGCAGGGAGCGGTGCTTCCCCCAGACGCAGCGCCGGTTCCGCTATGTACTGTCCTACCTGGCCGCGGCGGGCCTCCTGTGGGGGGTTTATTTCGGGGTCAACCACGACAGGTGTGACCCCTTCGCCTTTCTGCTCCCGACCGCGGGCTTCCTCGCCTTCTGCCTGGCCCTCTTCCTCTTCACCTTCACGCGCCTCTATGCCCGGCTGTACCCCCAGGTGTCCCTGCTGCTCATCGTGGTCACGTTCGCGGTGACGCTGGCGCCCCAGGTCCAAACCGCCGCCTTTTCGCAGTCGCAAGGAAGGGAGGAGGATCCCTCGGGGAACCGCTCCAATAGCTCGGGTGGCCCGCCCCGCCCTGGGAAGCTCTGCATCTCGCCCGTGGGCACCTTCTCCTTGTGCATGGAAGTCCTCTTGCTGCTGTACAGCGTCCTGCACCTGCGGCTGTACGCGTCTGTGCTGCTGGGCCTGGGGTACTCCGTGCTGTTTGAGGCCCTCGGGTGCGTCTACATCGCCGAGGACCACCCCACGCTCTACTGGCTGGCCCCCGGCAAGGGGCTCCTGCACCTCTGCGCCCACGCCATTGGCATCCACCTGTTCATCATGTCGGAGGTGCGGTCCCGGAGCACGTTCCTGAAGGTGGGGCAGGCCATCATGCACGGCAAGGACCTGGAGGTGGAGAAGGCCCTGAAGGAGCGCATGATCCACTCGGTGATGCCCAGGAGGGTGGCGGACGAGCTGATGAAGCAGGGCGACGACGAGAGCGAGACCTCGGTCAAGCGCTACTCCACCTCCAGCCCCAAGAGCAAGAAGAAGAAGACCTCCATCCCCAGGGGGCAGATCATCTTCCGCCCCTTCAACATGAAGCGCATGGAGCCCGTCAGCATCCTCTTCGCCGACATCGTGGGCTTCACCAAGATGAGCGCCAACAAGTCGGCCCACGCCCTGGTGGGCCTCCTCAACGACCTCTTCGGCCGCTTCGACAGGCTCTGCGAGGTCACCAAGTGCGAGAAGATCAGCACGCTGGGCGACTGCTACTACTGCGTGGCGGGCTGCCCCGAGCCGCGCGCCGACCACGCCTACTGCTGCATCGAGATGGGCCTGGGCATGATCGAGGCCATCGAGCAGTTCTGCCAGGAGAAGAAGGAGATGGTCAACATGCGCGTGGGGGTCCACACGGGCACCGTGCTGTGCGGCATTCTGGGCATGAAGCGCTTCAAGTTTGACGTGTGGTCCAACGACGTCAACCTGGCCAACCTGATGGAGCAGCTGGGGGTGGCCGGCAAGGTGCACATCTCCGAGGTCACCGCCGGCTTCCTGGATGACCGCTACGAGAGGGAGGATGGCCGTGTCTTGGAGCGCGTGGGGCAGAACGTGGTGGCTGACCAGCTGAAAGGTAGGGGGGGCTCGGGGGTGGGGGGGCTGCACTCCACGCTTCGGGTTTGACACGGTGAGGCAGATGGAGGCGGCGTTCATTCTCACTTGGGCTTTCCTTCGCTTGGGGTCTCTGAAAAACCGGAGCGAAATGAGCTGATTCATGCTGTTGCCCGAGAACGGTACAAGGTTTATGATTCAACATGTGAATAACTCTGTCTGGATTGGCAAGTATAGCAGTGTAGTTGCCCGGGCAGATTCACACGGGCACAGGATTCTGTCCACAGCTGTTGCTGTCCACCCGAAAATTCTGTCACCCCCTCTTAACATTTGCATAGCACGTCAGTCATTGTAATAGGAGTAACTCTCTTATAGTCTGTTAGACATGATCCAATCAGGTTTTATTCATGGGTATCTGTGTAGCTCGTTTTCTGTATAATATGCTCCGTTTTCTCTGACCAATATTAAATAAGGTGACAGAATCCTGTCAGTGGTACAAAAATCCATCACTGGTTCAGTTCCATGTGGTAGTGCTGTTTCTGCATGGATGTTGCAGAACCTTTTCCAGGAACAGGTAATCATAGACCTAGATAAGACTTCTTGTTGGCTACATAGCACCTGTACCTCAACTGACCTCTTCAGAGCAGAAACTCCAGTGTTGGCTTGTTGCACTTGTAGTAACACATTCCAGAAGCTCGAATGAACCAACATAATTAAATACAGTAGGAAAAAGTGAACTATGCTGTCAGGCACAGCCTCAAAGTCCCAAAGCTGCTTTTGATAAGTGTGTAGTCTAGACCATAAGGATTGAGAGTGCGGCTGATGTTCTGTCTCTGCCTCTTTGAATTTTCCTGTAAAAGTGTCTCAGTGTGCCCGAGCTTAGGTGCAGCTACCAAAAGCGTCATGGCATGTCTTATTTTGAAAGATGAATTCATAACTGTGTGAAGGGCAGTTTTGCCCTCCATAACGTGGCTCCAACAGCCATTCAGTTTTCTTAAACATTAACAGCGTACTCGGACAGAGCCAGAAAGGCCCGCCGTAATGTGCTCTGATAGTTTCCTTTTACATAGGATTGTTGTGTGCTGTCATCTTAGAACGTTTACAGTCGTTACAGTTTAGCAAAAGGGCCGAACAAATGATTATCAATGTTTTTGTCCGTAATATCTGGTTATAAGTCACTTTCATCTAGACTATATATTTTTTGTCACAAACTCTTCTATGATCTTCACAATCTCACACAGGCTTTTGGTAAACCCTGGCCTGGCGAGAGCCTGGATAAAGTTATGTGTGATTTGTCTGGCTATTTCCCACCCTTCCCTGCCCTTTAAAGCAGTGGATGTGCACCTAGGGTGGATCAGTGAGTGTGCGGGTGTTCTGTGATTCTCTTTCGGCTCTCCGGCCTTCAGCTGTTCAGTAGAGCATCTGGCTGCTTTTTGAAGCTGCCGGCCGCTCGTGTGAGCAAGCACTCTGGACAGATCTGTGCCAAGCGAGGGAGCTGCTCTGTCATCAGAAACGTCAGCTCTCCAAGCACTGCGCGTACTGTGGTGTCAGACCCCAAGTCATGGAAAATGGCAGGCTGCGTCTTTCTTTTTTAAAGCTTTTGCTTTTAATAGAACGTGTTTTTTTTTAAGGCCATGTCGGCTGTAATTTGTGAATCTTAGAAATTCCCATGGAGGGTTTGCGAACTTTGCTTGCTTGAGACATTTAGTATGTTTGTTTAAGGCACTGGTTTAAGTTATGGAGAGCTGGGATTGGAATTGAGGAAGGGCTGTCTGACAGCAGTGCCCGTTTGAATAATTTTGCTTAAAGTAACGCCAAAAGGAGGATTAAATTGAACACTGAAGACAGGCAAAAATTAAAAATAAGTCTCTTGCAAATAATGTCGTATCCTGCTCATCCAGAACTAAGAATTGTTTAGCGCCATTAGCGTTAGATGTAAAACTGGCCAAGGGAGTTAGTGGAGTTCATTTCATGCTGGGAAAAATGGTTTTGTAATTCTGGGGAGTGTGAATTCCTGTGAACTGTGCTTTAGTGCTCTGAATTGCTCTGTATCTCGCTGTAATGTCATGACCTGTTGGTGATTGGTTTTACAGGGGCAAAGTTTTATGCGCACGAGAACAAGTGTCCTACATCAGAGAGCTGTTATTCAAACTCTCTTATTAGGAGTTTGATGATAACGCCTGGTTTGACTGTTGACTTGTGTGTAAATTGAGGTTGTTCCATTGAGCAGGAGAGCTTGTGGGCTAAGCTGTGGCAGAGCCTGCAGTTAATAAACTGCTTACTGCATTCCTCACCGTTTACGCCCATCGTTTAATACAAGAGTGATGCGGTGGCCTTAATTTCCAGGAAATGTCAAGGAAAGATGACAAAAACATTGCAATCTTCATCTCCGGCCTGTTTCTGCGTTTGCCTCCACTTTGCGCAGGTTGTGTGTGCGGACCTCATGCAAAGGAGCTTCTTCCGAGTTCGCGGAAAGCCCTTTAGTTTCGGACCCCTCGCAACTGGTGATTGTTTCTGTGCTTCACAGTGGAGACGAGTGCCCAGGGCCGCGCTGTTTTCATGTCAACCTGCGCGTGTTTATACAAGTCTATTTTTATCATTTTGCCTGGAAAGTACCTGGCTTCGGTCTGTCGGCAGACAGCGGCCAGACTCCTCCTGCTCCGAAGGCACGTTGAAACTGGAGGAATCTGTGTAGCGAGTGTGGGCACAGCCTGAGCACACAATGGGAGCGAAGTGGCCAGCGAAAAACAAAGGTGGTATAAAGTCTGGAGCCGGCTGCACCCAGAGGCCTGCACTACAGCAGTGCAGAAGAGCTGGAGGCTGAGAATCCCTTCTTGTGTCAGAAATTAGGTAGAAGCTCACCGGTAGGTAGTAAACAGGATTTGGTCAGTTACGTAAACGTTTGGGCTCTTTTCTTTTGTCAGGAACCTAAAACTCGCATTACGGAACAGGTCTTTATTTTTATCCCAGGAAAATGGCGTGTTGCCCTTGTGGTTTCCTTGTGTGTAGGAAGAGCTCAAGAGCTCCGAAGCCCGGGTAGTTAGGCGTGTGTCGAAACGCAAAGACGACACTCGATCTCCCCTATGTTTAATACACCTGAGAGAAGGGTTGGAGGGGAGGGAGGTTTGAACTGCTCCGACTCATAAGGCCCTTTAATTTCTGATGTTTTGAATCAGGAATATGCCTTTGGCTCTGGTCTTGCAAGATAAACCCCCATCATGAAATAACAGCAGGCATCAGGGTGCCTTGAGCGGCGAACATGCACAATGGTTGCTTCCAGTCTTGGGTTGACTTGTGGACCCGAGACCTGATTTTCGAATATCACTGGGTAACGGCCAGAGGTTCAGTGAAGAAATCAGCTTTGAGGCTGCGTTTCCTCTCTGGTTATTCTGAGCAGAATTTAGTTTTAATGCCAGTTAACTTGTTTTAATCCGTTTTCTGCCATTTGGCACAGAAAAATGACCGCCTTGCGCTTCCCAATTTCTGGTATTTCCCCCACCGGACCCCAGTGGGGGTGCTGTTATGAAAGAAGGGATCGCCTTTGCGATTCCACTGGTTACATCAGGCTGATTGAGTTTTGTTTTTTGTTCATGTGATCTGACCTTCTTTAACCTCAGCGTGCCGTGTTCCCGTTTCAGTTCTTTCTTTTTTCTTACAATGTTGTATTTATTCTAACTTTCCAGTCTTCCATTTCAAATGTTTTTCTACACTCGGAAACGTTGCTGAGTAAAACTGGTTTAAGGATTTTTCTTTCTTGTTTTGCTTTCTTGAGCTTGCGATACCTCTTTCTAGGAAGGGGCTTCGAGAAGTCTCTTCGGATGGAAGTGAGGGGACAGCGCCAGTGTCCTAGACTTTTTTCTTCACGTGCAAACCCAGGATAGCTCTTCGCCCTGAGAAGGGTGGGGGTGGCACCTCTTATTTCTGTGACTGTGACTTCTCCCTGACAAAATGATGTTTACCAGCAGTTTGGATTGCTTGGGTCTGTCTTCAGGAGATTGAATTTGTGATCGTGTTCTCAGACACTCAGCCTGCCAGGCCATAGGAGTAAAATCCTTTTATTGATTGAGGGAAACACTTGATCTTGAAGAACAGAAATCTGGATCTGCATGCTGTGTTTTAGTAGAACTCAACAACACTCCTTCAGGACAGAAATGATTGAACTTGAATAGAAATGACAGAATAAGTGTTGTGCAAGAATGAAGCTGGAGACTGAATCTTCTGACGTCTTGCCCAGGAGAAGAAGTGTCTCCCTAATGCAAAACCTTAGTTCCCACATTGACCCAACACTAACTACTGAATAGTACTGAACAGTCCCATTGATGATTTGAAGGTGGCGAGGAGAGGTGTTTTCGTAAACTGCTTGCTTGGTCCATCAGTCAGTTTGAGTAGAGACCATGTGAGTGCGTGCAGGTCCTGAAGCCTTTCAATCGAATTTTCCAGGTAGTTTGAAACACCTGTGGGTTGCCTGACTGAAACTGCTTTTCCAATTGACCTTGTTGGTTGAGCTAATAAAAAGCTTGAGTTTTATATTGTTTAGCTCCTGTTAACCCCCGACTAGCTGAGAGCCACAGGGTTTGTTTCGGACACCTCTGGGCTCGACAGTGCTACATGAGTATTAGTGGAAGCGAGATCTCCTGCTTGGGTGATCCCGACTTTTGTTAGGATGAGCAGGCAGGAAGTAGGAAGACGAAGGGCTTGAAGTGCTGGCGAAGACCCCCCGGCGGTCCCATGCGTCTTTATCCATGTGGGAGCTGTAGTGGAAAACCGGAAGGGAAAGAGGACAGAGCAGAGCTCGGGGAAACTCAAGAATGCTTTAGATGCGGTGGCAGCTGGCGCATAAGCTTATTACGCGAACGGGGTAAATAGCTCACCGATTTGCTGCACTGATCCTGGGGATTACCATTAGATGACATCTTGTGCAGGCTGTTGCTCTCTAATCCGAGCTTGTTTGACTTCGGTGTTGGGGGAAAAAAAACAGGCTTGTGCCGGAGACTGGGATCTTCTTTGAAGTGGTTTCTTTTC